CTGGGCAGACTTTTCTGTTTTGTGGCTGTGAAAACAATCATTTGATTTTGAGTCTTGCGTGATTCAGTGTTGAAACCATTTTAGAATACAATGATATATATTTTCTTTTCTGCCATGGGATGGATGGGACCTTGATCCAACAACTCATCATCATTTTTTCCCTATAGTCTTAACAGCCATCGAAAAGTAAGAATGTGGAGCAGTGAGTATAACTCAGTTGGTAGAGCATTTGTCTACAAAGTGCAAGGTCTCAAGTTATTTCCCAGCACCACTAACCCCCCCCAAAAATATTCTTCCTTTTCTTATCATCTTGTGAGTAACACTTTTTATTTCTGGACTTTTGCCACAACTTGACACAAAGCACACAATCTGCCATCTCCCCCTCTGTCAGTTCCTTCTTCAAGCATTTATGCCATGGCATGCAGGTCTCAGTGTGCTAACCACTAGAGATATGGAGGTCAGGAGGATGAAAGGCGTGGCCTCCATCCTCAAGTTGCTCTAGTGAAATGGAGAATTATAGACCTGCACGGGCCAAATGTCAAACACTAAACTTTTGTCTCACTTACTTGAAGACCATTTCATAAGACCAGAATATGATGGCTGTGGCTAGACATCGACTTTTTGGAGACAAACAAGTAGCCCACCCTTTATCTCTTATGAATATCTTGGTAGCTAGTCTTGGTAGAATTTTCTTTTGCTAGGTTTATCTTTCCTATCATGTGTTAGTTAGCAGGCAAATAGATTTTTTAAAGAGAAGCTATAGTTATGTTGATTATTTTTATGATCTCATATATAGATAATTCATTACAGTTGCCCCACCTTCTTTTTGAAAGTTGATGCATTATGAAATTATTAATAAAAACTACATGTTTCTGTTTCATTCTTATTGTATTAGCATCAGTTTTGAAAATAAGGAATGATGCTTCAGGTTGATTCTGTCCCTGAATATCACATAACTGAACACAATACTGGGATTGTGTTTATGAAATCAATGTCTTTGTGTTTAGTTTATGCTCTGTCAGTCCTGAATATATTCTCTCTTTTGGGTGAATATCATTCTCCATCACTGGCAGCAGTTTTTTACCTTTTCTTCTCCATTATAAAATGACAGTGAAATCAGAAAGTGACTTTTAGTCACTGTTGTTCTTTCTGAATGAAATCTCCCCAAGTTCTAAAACCTCTACACATATTTTTAATGTGGTCTACTATAGCCAGAAAGTCATAACTTTTTCTTCTATAGAAGCACATGAAACGCAAAGGAAATCTTAATGAAATTGTTTCTGTCTGCAGAATGTGGAAGATGCTATGTCTGACTCAAATATACATTATTATCAAATGATTCTATTCAGTTGCATTTGCTTTTGTGACAAGAAGTGAGCAATAGAGTATTGAATAAATAGCTCCTCATTCTTACTGCTGTGTCAAAACATTAGATTAAATGTGGCTTGATGTTCTACCATACTGCAGAGTAGATTTATTCTAGTGTTGAAGGGAAAATTATACTCTGCACTCTTTTTAGCATCTGTGGTATTTGAATTATCCTGTGATGGTCCGGTCACATCCTTCCTTCATTTTATCTTCTTGGCCTGCCTGCAAAATGGCCAAAAACATGCTGATGTGCTCAGGCACATTTCCTTACCCTACCTGCTGCTTATCCTCTCTGGAGTTTGCATCCAGAGTCCCACTTCATGAGCAGAGCTGGCAGGATCTGCAGCAGAGGAGAACCTGTGTGGACCAGGTGTCCGTATCTGGTGGCACGAGCTATCCTGGGCTCCTAGGGTGGCCACACTGACTCTTCCTTTACCCTCCTCATTTCTTCAGCTGGAGACAGAGTTTCACTACATTCATTGATGTCACTTTTCTCCCCTGAATGGTCACATAGTTATCTCTCTGTGGCTGACATAGGCAAACTGAAAAATCTGAGTAGTTACTGAGTTATACAGAGAGCAGACTTCTTAAGACGTCTGCTTGTAGCTGATTCCCTCTTATTTTCTTTCAGATGCCAACCTTTATAAGTGCATTTCCAGCATGCTCTGTTAGACTTCACTGTTCACTTATGCAGAATCCACTAAAGCTAAAGCAGTTCACAGCTAGAGATAGCTCTATGTGACATAATCAGTGACTCCCAGTGCTTCAGTGACAAACCGTAAATTCTCACAGTTCTGGGAGGCATTCACCTTAGCTAGCTTCTCTCATGTTTTCAACTGCCTTTCTTCCTAAACCTGCTGTTCTGACCACATGGTCCCCTGATTATACCTCTGTCTGTCTGTCTGTCTGTCTGTCTCTTGAAATAATAAGAAAGGTCATTGGGAATTATAAAATTGCTGTATTTCCTTCTTATTCTATTGTGAATTCCATAAATAACATTGGATAAAATATTTAATATTTATGATTCAAATATCAATACTCTTAGCAGGTATATTTAAGTAAATAAAAAGAATGAATATATAGAATAAATACAAGGATAGCCTCGGACTTGCTGTGTTAACTTTTTTCTGCACAGATAAATTGAAACTATTAGATTAAACATCCAAAATTGTTAATATTCAGGTATTTGTTTTACTACAAAAAGGAGATTTTGTGTATGTTCTAGGTTACTCTCCAAGAGCTATGTCCACGAAGTCCATCCAGTTGAACAATTAACAGAGAAGTTTTGTACTGAGCTGGGAACTGAGTTCTAAACTTTTGCGGCTTCCCAGCCCATGTTCCATATTTTGTCAGAAATACTAGTTGGAAGACATCATCCTTGTGGATATCAAATTAACGAGATTTAATTCATGTGATTTAAACTCAGGACAATCTCCTGCCGTAGTTGTGTCTCAAAGCAAGCATTTTGGACAATTATTTTACACCAGTTATTTTAACATTTGAGAGTAGACCCTTTGGATCTGCTGACCCGGATCAGACACTGAAAAGTAGAAACAAAGCTGTGAGCACCCAGAACACTTCAGGAGGATGTGGAAGGAAGGAGTGAATCCTAGAGGAGGTGGAGCACAAAGGCAGTCAGCAGCAGCACTTCTTGGAGTTCCCCCCCGCCCTCCCCCCCGGCCCCTGGGCTTTGCTGGGCAAGGCTCTCCATGCCTGCTGCCTCTGTGTTTCGTCTGAATGCACTAGCGAAGGGCGGTCCCAGGCCACAAGGGTGCTTGTCTCTCTCCTCCCCCTTGTAGTTCTCCCAGCACTCTCACATGGGACCCCAATGGAACAAAGCTTTCAGGCAAGCAAGAAGACCTGTAAAGATTTCATAAAGCTAACAAAGACTTACTGAACATCACGGTATATGGCTCGGCTTTAAAATATTGAGCCAGGCATGGTGGCACACACCTGTAATCCCTGCACTCCAGGAGGCTGAGGCAGGCAGGAGGATCATGAGTTCAAGACTAGCTTGGACTATGTACCAACACTCTGTCTCACAAAAACAAAAACAAAAATATTGGAAAATCACTTATAATGCTGTTTTTTAAGCTATAAATTTTAAAATGGTATATGCAGTTTTACCTGCTCGGTACACAGAATTTCTAGATTTTTAAATTTTGGAAATCTGAAAATGAGTAAATTTGTTTTCATTGTGTTCTGTAGTACAGTTTCCTATAGTTTAAAAGCAAAACAAAACCTGGCATATGGTCCGTGCCTATAATACCAGCACTCTGGGAGCATGAGGCAGGAGAATCTCAAGTTCTAGCCCAGCCTGAACAACTTAGCAACTTAGCTAAACCCTGTCTCAAAATAAAAAATAAAAAAAGGACTGGGCACGTAGCTTGATGTGAAGGCCCTGAATTCAGTCCTCAGTACTGGGGCAGGGGTGGAGGGTGGCAGGTGACCTGAAGTTATTTTCCCATTGTTACGATTGAGGAAAAGGTACAATTATAGCTGAGCTGAAACCCTCTGAAGCCAGTGGCTGAGTTCCTGCCATATTGTTCACCTGCTCTTCAGGACCACTGACACGAAGCTGACATAGGTCTGCTTTCCTTCAGGCTCCCAGGAGATAGAAAGAAACCCAGCTTCCAGGGAGACAGGGTAGGAAAGAGCCAGAAAGACTCTGTGCAGTTTATTGATTCTTGCCATCAGCCAGGTAGTGAGCTGCCTTTCTTTACAGTATCAAACTTAACTGTCACAGCTCTGAGTCACTGCTCCCTCTTCTGGATGGGGAGATGAAGACTTAGCTTAGTGATGTCCTGCGTAGTCACAGCTCATAAATGGCAGGGCCAGGTTCACTCTAAAACCCACAGCTAACTCTCACACAAGACTGGAAGACCGAGTCAGGAGAACAGGGCTCATTAAAACATCTCCTGTGTGCCAAGCTCTGTAGTGGATTCTTAACACACATCTTCTCGATTAACCAACCCAACAACACTGTCATTTGGGCAGTGTCACCTCAGATTACCACTTAGAAAAGTCAGGTGACTTTCTGGTCACTCAGCTGTGAGAGCTGGGACTGAGATTTGAATCTAGTCTCTATTTTGCTTTCACCGTGAACCAGACAAGGAATTGAAGGAACATAGACTCTTACGGTGGTAGAAGAGAGAATGATAATAAAAGCCTGAAAATGTTAGAAACAGAAATATGTCTAGCCTAATGGCTACAAAGTAGCAGTGCACAGTCTTGGAACTAAACAGCCTGAAAATCTTTAAAATTGTTTTGTATTTCTCTGAATTTCAGCTGTCTGTTTACATGATCATAGAAAATTTTTCAGATGGATTTTAAATTTGTCTTGTGATGAGTATGACTTCTGGTGTCTCCTGAATTAGAAATAAATTCCCAGCCCCTAGGCAGACAAATAGACGCCTGATGTGCAATTCAAGTGGCTCAAGTTTGAGTCAAATGTAGATAAATTCAAGTAACCAGACCTCCAGTGTAATGGAAATTTATTTTTGACATTTGAATTACAGGACAATAAAGCAAGTTAGAGCCAAGCCCCCCCACCCCCCAGCCCCAGGAACCCTTTTATCAGGGCTCATTCAGATCAGTGACTCATACTGAACATGTGTCAGGATCTCATTTATGTCCTTCATGGTCTGGTTGTATGGTATTCTGTTAGGGTTGATGTGTGTTGCCAGGACCTGGGGTACTGAGCAGGCACTCACCAGAGAAGGATAAAATGATGTTAATACACCCAGGCAAGAAAGTAATGAAAACATCTGAAATATATTCAAAACCAGTGGAGCTCATTATGTTTCACTTACCTAGAAATAGTAAATAGAATATTCCTAGACAGTTGAGCTAATTAAAGCCTACCTGCTTGTGCCACAGCTGATGATAAAATAAGAAAATTATACTCAAATCCCTCCTATCCCAGTGGCACTCTGCTTCTTTCTATTTATCTTTCTTAAGTGTTCACTTCTTTATGAGCAGTTTTTAAGAGATTAACTTGTGAACTAAGGGGAAGGCTTGCTGTACCACAGTGAGCAACAAAGATTCCAACTATAATCAATTTTTGGTCTTTTGAGCGCTGTCTCTAAAGTCAAAAGACTGTCGGCCTGCTTCCAGGTGACAGCTGACCAGGAGGTTCTCTAAAGTGGGTGGGCTGTTTTCTTTCAGGTCGGGCTGGGCCGGCTCCGCGAGCGCCTGGCAGACTGAGGGAGAGAGAAAGAGGAGAGGAGGAGGAGGATTCAGGGAGTAGAAGCTGGGGAGCCCTTCTGCGCCACAGAACATTTCTAATAACTTGGTGAAGATAGAAAAACTGTCAGACTGTAGTATTCCTACACTGTGGTTACTTTTGGTGACACTGTCCGGTTCCCACAGTGTATCATTCCTTATCTGAAACTAGACATCCTCTGCAGCAGGAGGAACAAGAAGTAGGCATTGATCCCTTGTCCATTTACTCAAACAAGTCTGGAGGAGATTCAAATAAAAATGGAAGAAGAGTAAGTTCTACCTTACACTCTGAAGGGACTTTTAATTCATATAGATCTTAACAGGCTTAGCATTTAGAGATGGACCTTGGATACAGGAGGCATTTAATAAGGATGTAGAAAATGAAGTTTTAAAAATTTGTTTATGAATTTGAGAAATGAGATGATAATCCAACACTTGACATCTTTATTTTATACTAGTTAAAACCTGTATAAATAATGACTCCTTTAATTGTCACCAGTATTACAAAAGGCTTATATTCCCAATGTGTTCTAGAGGGGTATTATCACAATAGTAAAGCTCTTCTATCACAATCGTATTTTCACCATACTCATCCTACCTTATAAATGTTGCAGTTCTCCAGATTTTCCTTCTAGTTGCACAGTATGATACAAAGCTTGAAATTTGATATACTGAGTAATAGGTAGAATCCTGCATCTGAATGTCACAGCTGATCACAAAAACAAGCAAAAAGAGTGAATATAAAAGATAGTTAAATAAATATTCATGATTTGGCATGTAACTGAGAAATGTTAATTTGATACTATACATAAAATCTATGATAGTAATATCCTTGTTAAATATAAATATAAAAGCCAAGACAAAAGGAAAAATATATTTGAAAGGAAGGAAAATTCTTAAATATATGTGTACAGTTTTTGGAAAATTACATCTTACAACTACATTTTTAGCTAATTATAATAAATAATAGATAAAATGTGATGTTAAGAATGATTTAATGTGAAGACAGAGCATGATCTTGTAGTTCATTTTGTCCTTGAATAGCTTGAAGATTAAAGTATCTTAGTATTATTGAATAATTTTATTTAGAAAATGAACTCAATGCAGCTTTGCACAGTAAATACTAATTTTTTAACAAAATATTTTTAATCAATGTTTATCACTATTGTAATGTTAGGATATTAATTTATTATTGTAATTAAAAAGGCAAGACAAAAGGCTCAGGTACTATCATATGTAAAAGTGAGCTTTTAATAGTTGACAGGCCAGTGTTGCTAATAAATAGAATTATAGTATTTAAGGTGTGAAATGAATATTTTTCAACTCAGTAGTCAGTAGCTTTTATAATTAGGTTACTTGTGAATTTGACACTTGAGTTAAATGTAGAATTCATAGGAACAGAGCTCTAGGGTATATTTTCATGCTAAAAACTAAATTATTGTAAAATCACATAAAAATGAGAGAATTGTCAGTAAAATTTACTTTTGAAAATGAAAATTATTTTTCTGTTGTCATTATGGCACTGTTAAACTAACTAGAAATAGATTATCAGAAAAATGGACGTCTTCCAGCCCTCAGACATTCTTTTGTGTAACATTTCTACCTTTGTTTTATTTAAACTGTTTCAGAAATCCTAACCTTTCTTTATACTTAAGCAATTCAGATCTTAAAATCTTGTACCAGCATAATAAAGTATGTCTACTTGAGTCCAGGGTGAATACTAATGGCATTATCCTTTCATCTGTAACATGTAAAATAGACACTGTAATCTCTACGCTGTCTTTTTTTTCACAACTTTTTAGAAGACTGACATAAAGTGTGTAAAATAAAGCCTTTTGAAAATCTAAAAAAAATAAAAAATTAAAAAATAAATTAAGTGGGTGGGATGCGAGCACCCACTGACTGCAGCAGTGTGGAGCAGGACCCACCTTTGAGTAGCCTCCTGGACCAGCCTCAGGGCCTGTCCTGCTTGACTCACTCTTGTCCCTGTCCCCACAGCCCAAGTATCCACACACACACAATGTAACCCTGTTCCAGTGGGAAATTCCAAGGTTAAATCTCCTCAAAGTGTCAAAGTCCTATTAGAAACCACTGATTGAAGCCAGACGTGAAGGTGTGCACCTGCAGTCCCCCACTCTGAGAGGTTGAGCCAGGAGGATAACAAGTTCGAGCCCCACCTGGGCAACTGAGCAAGACCCTTTTTTAAAAAAAAAACAAACAACATTTTTTTAAAGGGCTAGGGACATAGAAAAGGCTCTCCAGTCAATCCCCCAGTATTAAAAAATAAAGCCTTTGAACATACACTAAATAAAATAGTTCATGTAAAAATAAATTTACCCAAACCTGGAAGACGCTGTACATCATATAACCAGAGAAGTGCTGTTATTTTTGCCTTTTATTCCTTTCCTAAAATACATTTTTTTGTATCTTTAATAATCTTTGTTGTTAAACTTTGTTGAAAGGCTTTTTCCAAATCCTTGTAAATAATATCTCCTGCTTGCCTTTTGTTGACCTACATAGTTATATCAGAGCTTTTTAGTTCCTAGAACATGAACTTTGTGAGAACTAAGATCAGAGACTTTAACTTCCCAGCCTGTTTCCACTCAACTGCTCTCTGTGTAAACTGGGATGGCCAGAGTAGGTGCTCTTCATGGACCCTCGGACAGACCCCTACCCCTACCGTAGGACTGGTCACCTGAGCTGAGGTTGTTGGTCTGGGATGTGTCCTTCCCCCTGAACAGCACCTTTCTTTCGGATGGTTGTAGCTGCTTCACCTTTTCATTTCCTGAATCTGGCCTTGTACCTGATAAAAATGTTAACAGAAAATCTTAGTGGATGAGTGTTTTCTGCATAAATTCTAAGAAACTAAATATGTCTTTTTTCTCATTTTATAGCGCCTGATGGCTGTAAAGTACAAGATAAGAAAACTGCCTCCAACCGCCCTTCTGCTACAATTTCAGGACAAAATAGCAGCCACTCAGGAAATAAACCAGGTATGATGCATGGCATTTACTTTTGGAAAGTAAAGGTTCTTCAAAAGCCTTGGAGCATGCTGATAAATTTTAAACTAACGCTAGAGTTTAGGAGTGCGTAGAGTCCCGCCAAACACACACTCATACTTGTTTGTGTGAATTTGTCTGAGAACCCCAAAGCCTTGACTTTCTGTCTTTAAAATGGAGATTCAGACACATGCCTGCTTGCTTCTCAGAATCATTTTGATAGTTGAGATGTTCCCACCATGGAGGTAGTTTGTGTGGGTACATTTGTTTACTGTCAAGCAATGTGTAAGAGATAATAATTTTACTACTGTTTGAAATTGTGGGTATGTATATGTGGCTACTTCAGCTTTTGCTGCAAGCCCAGCATTCTTACATATCCTTTTTGTGACTTTTTCAAAAACCACTTAAAGAAATCTTTACACATAGCAAAGCTCCCAAAGAATTACATTTCTGTTCTCCATTCCCTGCAGTGGTTGTACACCTACACAGTAATTTCATTTAATATCCTGTGATTTATGATCTGTTCCACTCAGTGATACAAAGAAGCAAGCCATCTGTAAATGTAATACAAATGTAAATGTAATACTGTAAATGTAAATTTAATACTGTTGAATTGATAGCTAGTTTCTCTAGGTATCCCGCTGTGGTTCTTGGGAGGGATGAGATGATCTAACAAAGGGAAAGCAAACTGAAGACTCTTTAAGCCACTTCATGCTGCATTCAAGGCCAGAGTCACTCAGGAACAGTGCATCGGAGAGAATAAAGATGGAAATAGCCACATCTAATCTCATGAAAAATATTGTCTGTTATCCTTAATTTTGGAAAACAACTTGATAAATCCGGCCTGTTGTTTAGAAGGAAGACAGTAACAAGCATTGTTGCGAGTGTTGCTTGACCAGCCCTTGGTAGCAAATGATGTGCCGTTTCAGTATGGTTTTAATCAGCAGGCCAAGATTTCCCTCTGTCGTCAGCTTGCCTGTCCATTCATTTATTCATTCACCGTCCATCTATCCAGCCACCACTTAATATTTACTGATCAGATTCTTCTGCGCCTGGGAGTGTGAGCAGTGCTGTGGGAACAGACATGATGTGAGCTCATTTGAGTGGACTTTTGTTCCTTCCGCTCCAGGGAGCATCCCCGAGGAAGCAGAAGTTCTACCTCTTTATTTCACCATGAGAATTTAACATAGCTAAAGGGTTTGTGGTACATTTCTCTGGCTCTTTGCATTCACCATTGCTTCCAGTTTCTGTCGTTATACCCTGGGCAGTTAGTGCCTGTATATCCCGATAGCTCACGCACTCATGTAGTGTTAGCACCATGGAGTCCCCAGGGGTATATTATCCTAGAAAGGTGCCATCCGCCCCTCCAGGAGGCAGTGCAGGAGTGAACAGTCTCTTAGCAGATCCTGGAACACAGCCCACCAGTGAGGAGAGAGCACAGAGCTGTTTGATTCACTTCGCTCAGGTTAGACAGGGAAATGCTTCCTTTCGGATCGTGTCTGTTGAGCATCCCTGGGTCTGTATGTGCTTTCTTGTATATGCAGATAGGCAAAGATGTAGTAAAAGCTGTTGTTTTAGGGACCCTCGTGTTAATTTCCTGAGCCTTTCCAAAGGATGATTTGAAAAGTTATGGTAGAAGGTTGTGCTGTAGTAAAACCTTTTGATTTTATGGAATCAGAGTTACAGGAGTCTGTCTAAAACACTTTGTTGGTTTTCATTCTCTAGAACTTAAAATGGAAAAAAAAGTATGATATTTTTGAGTATTGTCTTAACCAGATGTGGGTATAATTATAAATTTACTGAGCCCAGCATGATGGCACATGCCTGTAATCCCAGCACTCAGGAGGCTGAGGCAGGAGGATTGGCATGAGTTCGAGGCCAGCCTGTGCTACATAGTGAGTTCAATACCAGCCTGAACTACACAGCGAGACCCTGTCTCAAAAAAACAAAAATAAATAAATAATTAAATAAATTTACTGAGAGATGAGTAAATTTCAGCTAAATTTCCTTTCCTCCATTACAGGAACATGTCTGTAACCTAGCTGCTCAGGAGGCTGAGGCAGGAAGATTGCAAGTTCTAGATCAGCCTGGGAAATTTAGTGAGACTCTCAAAATTAAAAAAACAAAACCAGTTTGAGAGTACAGCTCAGTGCTCCCTGGGTTCAAGCCACAGTACCACAAATAAGTACATACATACATATACATTATAGAAGTTGCATGGGTTCTTTATAACTAAAGGAACAGTCTGAACCGCGTCACCCAGGAATCGACCTTTGCTTTTTGCTGTGAATACTCAAAGCTAGACCCACAGAGACAGCTTGTGATGTGACAGATCGGTCTGTCTTCCTGGTTCCCAAAGATGTGGGAAATGGTTCTCCAGAACTCCCATCAGCTCTCTCCAAATGCTCAATAGTTTGACCCTTTTGGGAGAGAACTGCACCCTCTCCCATGGACCTGAGCAAAGCAGAAACTCAAATTTATTAAAAATCCTTCTTAATTCCTGTCCCTCTACTGTGCTGCACTACAGGTCTTAGAGCCACTACAACCTCTCTTTCCCTCATTGTTCGTAAGTACTTTTCCTTCACACAGGAATCTCCCAGCCTGGCCTTCACAGCTACACCAGGTCCTCTAGTGACTATGTATTGGCAGAATGTAGAAGGCCACAGGACCGAGCTAGAGACTGTTGTCTTATGTGGAAAAATAGCATAATAGTTCTTGACTGGGTGAGTAAATGTATAGCTAACCCATAGTAGTATTGGGAGTGATAAAGTGATAATATATGGAAGGGGCTAAGAGAAGTTATTTGTGGTATAAACAGTATGTAGGGGTGCACACCTGTAACCCCAGCATTCAGGAGGCTAAGGAAAGAGGATCCCAAGTTCAAGGCCAGTCTAGACTACATAGTGAGAACCTATTTCCAAAAAAAAGTAGTTGTTAGATATGATCAAGTGAGTTTCTGAAAACAGCCTGTCACTGAAGGTTTATTTTTCCAATCTTTGGAAGTCAAGTGACCCTATTTTCAGACTTATGAGGGGCAGTATGGGTTTTTGCATATCGTCACAGAGAAAATGTTGATGGTGCAAATGAGAGGGAAAGCATTGTGTTACAGAAAACCCACTCTTTGCCTGAAATTATTTCACTGTACATTTTTTCTTTTTGGAAAAAATCGATCTTTAAAGATAAATTTTATCAAGTTTTGGTTATTAAAATTAAGATTTTAACCACTTACCAGTCCTATTATTTAAATATGAGATGATAAAAAATTGCATTTTTAATTAATTTTTATAAGACAATATAACAGGAAATATAAAAATGACAATTTTATCAAATTTATTTAATACAAGAATTGACTGGTTAAAATGACACCTGCCCAAGCAACACTTGAGATAGTACGTAAACAGTGATGCTCAGGGTAAACTACTAAGTGGTTAATTGCTAGCATTTCAATTTTATTTATTTTTTTTCCTTAAATTCTTTTATTGGTACATTTTAGGTACACAGTACATTTACATTTATCATTGGGTGCTTGTACCTGTACATGATGTATCTTGGTTCTTATTTTTTCCCCATTCCCTGTGCTCCCTTCCCTATTTACAAAGACTTTGTTTCCATTTTTTCCTTTTCTCACAATTTTTCCTTTCCCTTCTTTCCTTTCCCCTTCCCCTCCCACTTCCCCTACCCCTTTGGGCTTTTCTTCCTATTTCAAATTTTCAGTTACTCATTTTAGTCCTTATTTACACTTTCAGTTTCTCACACCAGAGAAACTATTCGGTATTTACACATGTGTGTCCTATTTATTTCACTTCAGAGTATCGCCTCAATATGCATCCATTTAGCTACAAATGTCTCTAGTTTCTTGTTCTTTTTGGCTGAATAGTACTGCATTTTATAAAAAAAAAAAAAAAAAAACACATCTTCTTTATCCAGTTTCCAGTTGATAGGCACTGGGGCTGTTTCCGAGTTTTACCTATTACAAACTGTGCCGCTATGAACATGGGTGCACATATATCACTGTGGTATGATTCTTTTAATTCTTTGGGGAAGATCCCCAGCAGGCGAATAGCTGAGGTCAAATGGGACTTCCAGTCCTAGTTCTTTGAGGTATCTCCATACTGATTTCCACAGGGGTTGCACCAGTCTACACTCCCACCAGCAGTGGAGCAGGGTTCCTCTTTCCCCACAGCCCTGCCAGCATTTGTTATTGGTTGATTTCATGATAGCAGCCATTCTTTCTGGAGTGAGGTGGAATCTTAGCGTTGTTTTCATTTGCATCTCTCAAATGACCAGTGATGTTGAACATTTTTTCTTGTGTTTATTTTCTATTTCTACTTCTTTGTCTGAGAAATGTCTGTTCATTTCAGATGCCCATTTTTGAATTGGGTCTTTGAATTTGGGAGTCTGATTTTTTTCAGTTCTTTATAGATTCTAGATGTAGCATTTCAATTTTCAGTCTTTCAGTAGGTACAAGAGTGCTCTTCTCATGCCTCATTGATTCCTGTGAGTGGAACTTTAAAGCCTCTGGAAGTGAGTGAAGGTTCCTTCATTCAGCAGATGAAGAGAGAGGAGCCTTTTCCTCCTCGCCCCTGCTCACCGCCACCTGTTCTCTTGTCATTCTTAATGTTGACTGAAGCAGGGAAGAATTCAAACTCCATGACTTTTTCTCTCCACAGTTGTATTTTTAGTGCCAGGTTCCTAAAGGAGCCCAAATCATCTAGAATATCACCATCACCCTGTGTTATACCTTGGAAATGTTGTCTCGTTCTTCCTCAGATCGAATTCCAGAGTGATTACTGTCTCAGCACAGAGCTCAGAGGAGGGCTGTGGGAACTACGCGGTCCTAAGCATGGGCTTATTGATAGTGATCCCTTGATCTGTGCAGCACCATATACTACCTTGTTTCTTACATATCATAGGGTGCAGTTTGTTATAGATAGAGGGGTTTTTTTGGGTGGTGGTACTGGGGATTGACCCTAAGGCGTTACACATCCTAAGCAAGAGCTCTACCACTGAACTATACCTCCAGTCCTTATTCTTTTTAAATTTTGAGATAAGGTCTCACTAAGGTGCCCATCCTGGGCTCGAATTTGCAGCCCCCACAGCACTAGAATCATAGACATGTCCCACCACACTCGGCCCTCATGGGCTTCTATAGGATTTTAATTTCCTTTTTTATATGTACAAATTTTATGAAGTTTAAGAGGCATTGTGGATGCAAGCCCTTTAATTCATTGATGAGACACTACTGTCCTGTCTCTAATGTGGTAAGCAGGTCCCTGCGTTGGGTTTGGCTTTTGGCTTTTTTGCAGTACTAGGGATTGAACCCAGGGCCTTCATGCTGCACAGAGCTACATCCCCAACCCCTTTTTTATTTTTTATTTTTGAGATGGAGTCTTGCTACATCACCCAGGCTGGACTCAGACTAGCAGTCCTCCTGCTTTAGCTTCCCAGAGTGCTGCAATTACAGGTGTGCCACCGGGCTTGAACCCATTTTTAACATGAGATTCTAAGAATGTTGTGTCAATTCAGTGGAAAACTCTGATTTTAAGTGAAATTATTGTTGTAATCATCATCACTGTGTTTCTCTGTGGCAGTGGAGTGACCCTCTAAAGGTAGCCCTCTGCTGAATGGATGGGTGTGCACACACACACACACACATACATACGCATACATACATATGTGCACACGCACACACCTGTCTCACTCAGGATATTCCAGAATCCTTGCCATGCCCCCTATAGTCCGTGACCTGCCGACCTCACCCTGCTGGAGTCACTTCTGTCTCCCAGTTATTTCTTGAACAAATTAGGTACTTTCTGAGACAGGTCTCACTATGTATTCCAGGAAGGGCTAGATCTCAAAGTGATCCTCCTGAGTGCTGGCATTACAGGCGTGCACCACCTCACCTGGTTTGACCAGCTTTCTAAGCCTTAAGCTATGATGTGAGTTTTTATTTATTACCTGTAAAATGAAGTAAACACTGGGACCCCGTCTCCCATCACAAGAATGATAGTGAGTTATTAGTATAATGCTTACCACCGAAGTGCTAGCAAGTCCATTCACTCAGTACACACAGAGATTCTACTACACATGTATGCTAAAGAGCTCTGTATGCTAAAAAAAACAGCAGTCAAAGGAAAGACAAAACCTCAAGCGGGTGGGGAGTCAGTCTCTTGGTGTGTGAACCTAGGCTGACCCACTGGTGCTAAGAATAAAGCTTGTTCTACACTTGGCTCCGAGACTCCTAGTGTGCTTTCCATCCTCCCGGAAGAACTGTAGCACACAACAGAACTTTCTGCTTCAAAGTAACCTGGCCACATTTGTATAGCGAATGAGTGATCACACAGAAACTGAGCTCCTGTTGACTGACTCATCACCTCTAAACATCTACTCAACATAAATTCCCCTAGTGAGGATCCAGTTTATTGTTAAGGAACAGACTATTTAAAGTATAAAAATACTAGCAGTTTGATAGCTTTGGAACACAAAACATTATTTATATTGCTCAGTGAAAATAGCAAAAAAGCTACAGGTAAGTTATAATTTTACATGATTTTGAAAATGTATTTATTTATTTAGCAGTGCTGGGAAACAAACACAGGGCCTCGCATATCCTTAGCAAGTGCTCTACCACTGAGCTACATCTCTAGCCTCTACATAATGTTTTTAAACAGAAGAAAAAAATGCTTAGGAATCCTCAGAAAAGTTACAATAATAATATCACTGTGACTGCAGACATATATACTAACTACCGCAACACATATAGTAACATTTCATTGATCAAATTGATTAGGCAAAAGGATATTTATCATTGTGTATCTTTTTTAATCTGCTCTTCGTCTCCTATTTTTTATGTCATTTTAGACCCTCCGCCTGTGCTACGGGTTGATGACCGGCAGCGGCTGGCCCGAGAACGACGTGAGGAACGAGACAAGCAGCTAGGTACTCCGGCCCTGCGCCCGCCAGCCCTGTCTGATGAGTCAGGGACACCGGTGGAGATGCTACTTTTTCCTCGTCTAGGATGAGGGCTGCTCAGTGTGATCAAATGGTCATCACAGTAACCCCACCGCCCGCTGCCTCTGTGAAGTTTGTAGACAGATTATGAAGCAGAATTTAGTGGGCTGTGCAAACATACGGCTAGTTTTAAGTAACAGTAAACTCCAGCCCCAGGATTAGGGTCATTTTTATTTCTGAATCCGTCTTAATATCGTTCATATGGTGCTAGAGGGTGTGTATGAGCAGAGTGATGGTGCAGCTTACATCGTAATGCTGAGAAAATAACATACGGTTCTTTTCTGTGTGAACAGTTATGAGACTGTCCACTGCTCGCTGGCTTCTGTGATAAAATAATATTGCCACTGAATTTATAGACAGATGATACCCATGTTTTGCCAGAAGAGCATGAGGCCCAGTGCTGTGGTGTCTGACTTTTGGCTTGTTACAGAGGCAGGACTGGCCGAGCAGGGAATAGGCCAGGCAGGGGCCACAACAGTCCCTGTCTGCTACAGCACAGGGCAAGGAGGCCAGCAACGGCTGTTCCTCTCCTGTGCTGTCCATTTACACAGAGTTAATGATGCATCTTGAAAAGATAAAACCCTGGGTCTCTGTGGCCCAGCATGTCTAGGTGTGCAGGCATTTGAAAACTAAGACTGACTTGGTTGCCAAAATCTTTCTAGTGAATGGCCCATAATTTCTCTGAAGTTCTTCAGCCTGTACAAGTTCATCTTTTCCTTGGGGGATCAGCTTGTCTCCTATCGCTTTTATTATTCATACTCAAAAACCTAAATATGTGGACTTTAGGGGCAGCTGCTTATCGGGTGTGTTGGCATTGTTGATGTCCTCTCAACACAGGCCTGTTTTCTGTCCCTTGCCATAATGGCCATAATGCTGCCAAGGGTTTTTGTAAACACAAATTTCAATAGCATCCTGGAAGTAGACAGGCTCTACTAGGTTTTTTCCCCAAACCTACTGTTTCCTCCCAGGCCCTTGTCCAGCAGGCTTCTTGCAGGCAGGCCAGCTCTGAGAGCAACTGGCCAGGGTCCTCAGGGCTCCTTCATCCTCCTATGCACAGGGCCACTCACTCCCTAGTAACACCAGTTGGTCAGAATGACCACAACTAAGAGAAAGAGAGGGAGGAAACAGATCTATAGAAGCCAGAAAAGACTCCAGATGAGCAAAATTAAGAACATAATTATTGTTGTAGGATGGTTGTTATGTGTACAGATCCACTGAAGGATTCACACATTTGTCCTCTCCCTTCACCCCTGCATCCCAGTTGGATCAGGTGTGGCACTACTAGATGTCTCCTTAGGGCTGAAGCATGGATTCATGGATTCAGATTAGTGCCTGTTGAAGAGAAGGTGCTCCAAAGCATCAGCACACCTAAGTTTAAATCTCGCTGTGAATTATCTTTTACATATTTAACTCATACCTTTCCATTTGGAATTCTTTATCTTTCAAAGCCAAGCATTAGGGGCGTGTGTATGTGTGTGTGTGTGAAGTGTAAAGCAAGACTCTGCTGGTAAAGGTTCAGAGAGTCATTTGGAGGGACAGGCAGGTAGGGAGTACAGGTCAATGATGCAAGACAGGTGAACAAAAGGCATTTGCTAAGAGTCCCAGCTTGCTCTTCAGGTTATTAAATGGGTCAAAATACCTTTCAGATGATTGTATTATCCTATTATCATAAGTTTGCTTTTTTGGTTAACCAGTTGGATAATATATATAGTTCTTCTCTTTATTCTTGCCCTTGCAACGTTAAATATCATAGTTCTTCTTAATTCTGATCTCATTTTTTTTGTTATTGGAATCATAATTTTATGGAAATATATCAGTTCTGATTTTTTTCTTTGCATTCATCTTTTTTTATAGTTCAGAGCAGTGCATTTTTACCTCCTTTTCTTCACTTAAACCATTGAACCAAGCCTTGAGAGTCTCCCTTCCATCTTCATACACACATGGATAAACACAGGCCAAAATACATAATGTATGTGTGCATAAGTAAAGAGGTCTTGAGAAATCCAACATACACTTGACGTTGTGCCATAGAGTGCATGAAGGTGATTTCCAAAGAAATCTTTAGTGCTTCATGAACCTCACAAGTCACCTCTGGCTGACTCCTCCTACACCGAACTGAGCTTCGCAGAAGCTGTGGCACACTGGGGTTTTTATGTTTGTAAAAGTAGTGACTGGATACAAAATCTTGGGGTGTGCTTAACTTGAAAACAAAAACTGCTTGGTAATGCCAACTGTTACTGAGCTTTCAAACTTTCAAAATTTCAAGTATAAAAAAAAGGGGAAATGTTCAATTCTAAAAAGCAGAATTTATAATAAAATGGCCAGAGAGACTGGTTATTTACTGTTGGAGGTAGGATGAAACTAACACTGAAATCATTATTGCTTTTTTTTTTTTGGTACCAGGGATCGAACTCGGGTTCTTGCGCTTACAAGGCAGGTGACAGAACCACTGAGCTAAATCTCCAGTCCCATTATTGCTCTTTTAAAAAAGCAAGGTAGTTAGAGGGACAGTGGTTCTGCTTGCCTTGTGGTGGCAGAGCGTGTTTGTGCCATTTTGGGAGTGGGAGGATCTATTAGCACAGTAATTCACTGTGGGTTAAATCTCTGAGTCACGTTTAATGCTTTTATGATACAATTATGTCACATGGGCTGCTCTTTCTATCTCACCCTTTGATTTTCAGGTGAAATCAGACATAATTCTTCATGGATGAGACTGTTCTGTCAGTGGGTTGGGTGTATCTTCTCTGGAAGCTTGATGTTTCTGCCTTGAGAGCTTTTTTTTTTTTGGTACCAGGGATTGAACTCAGGACCTTGCTCTTGTGAGACAGGCAGCAGCACCACCTAGCTAAATCCCCAGCCTTGAGAACTTTATAAGTGGTCTCCCACCACTGTGTTCTCTCATACTCTATTCAGGCTAATCCTTCAGTCTTTTGTCTCTTGACCCCACATCTCCTTCAGTTTCTCTCTTCTAATCTTTAATTTTGTTTTTTCCTAACTTGTGTTGGGGTGGAGGTGGAAATCTCATTCGTTCTTCTATGTTCAGCCCTCCCTTTTGATGATTTGGATTCCACATTCCCAGCCACTCATAAAGCAGCAGATGTTCCCGATATTCTGAAAGTCAACCTCTGTACAACTAAATTGCTCATTATCCATTCCAAAATTGACTTCTCTTGGTAACCTCCTCCTACCAATCAATTGTACCAATATTTTCTTGGCCCCAAGAAATTATTTCTTTCAGCCATTTTTGATACTTCTGCTGGTGCCAGAGGTACTGGATTCTTTCTGCCTGTTAAATCTTAGCTGTCTGGTCTTTTGCAGAATTAATCATTCTTTCCTCCTTGGCTGCCCTAATACCATCCAGTGATGGGGCTCCTCCCTGGCTTGTTAGGCCACTTTTTGCTCCCAGTGGACAATCTGGACTCGGCCTATAACTGGCACTTCCCCTGTCCCTAACCTAGTATAGATAGAAGCTGATGAACTTTATCCCCAAACCCATTCAGTCACAAGTGTAGCAGACTCTGTCTTCAAAATAAATTTTAGATCCATGCCTGTGTGATGCTATTTCTGCCATCATCCTAGTCCAGGCCTTCATAAATTTATAGCTTAATCACTGGCCATTGTCCTTCATACCTGTTCCTTCTCTTCACAGCCCTCCTAGGAAGTCTTCATAATCTTTCCCCTTGGGGAAATGCTATCACTTTCTCATTAAAAGCTATATCTTGGGCCTGGGAATTTAGCTCAGTGGTTCTGCTGCCTGCCTCGCAAGCACAGGGTCCCGAGTTCGATCCCGGTAAAAAAAAAAAAAAAAAAAAGATATAGCTAAATCCCTGGCCCAAAAAAGCTATATCTTGCATAACTATCACATTTTCATGCTTATTCTAGTGCCATTTGATGCCCTACTGAACTTTTTTCTATTTAGATTTTATATAACTCCCTGGTGTACATTTTTTAAGCTTCTAAAGAGTATGACAATGGTTTTTAATTTTCTGTATCACAATACATGGCACAGTGCTAAAAATAAGACACATACAATAAGATAATAAGTATTTGCTGATTTTCCTCACTGTACAATCTTCAATGCGATGATAATAATGATAGATAATGTTTACGGAAAACTAACTGTGGGCCAGGCAATAATCTATCCTAATAACCTTCGTTATGTTTTATCATATAGAATAGCAGATTAGCACAGGGATTTTACTTTTTGTTTTGTGGGCCAGCTATCATTGGTAATGCAAATTAGGTAGTAAAATATTATTTTATTTTTAAAACACATTGTGATGATTGGCTTACAGAAGTAACTAAACAAATCTCAAAGATGGAATAGTTAATAGACACTCTTCCTTTCTGCTACATTGGCTAAACATGTTTTGTAGTATGTACAGAATCTCTAAGATCCACATGAAAATTTCATAACAAGCCTCATGCTATTGAGCAGAGAGACATCCCTACACTCTGGAGTGATGGATTCTTGGACAAGTGTCCTATTCACCTTTGGAGGAAGGGCGACTCTGCTTCCTCTTAGAAGTGAGATCCATAGGTGTTCTCCTGCCTCCCATTTGACACAAACTAAGAAGGCAAATATAAAGTTGCAGTGGATCCTGACAACCTTTTTGAGAAAAAATTTTGGCATCGATCTTCAGTTAGCCATTGAGTCCATTAGGAGTAATAGATCTTGTTACTAATTTCTCTTCAGAAACCACTACAAGGATGCAGTGGTATAAATTTTTTATCATAGAAAACTTAAAACTAACCACCTCTTCCTTTAAAACTACTTTGTGTTATTTTAAGCCATGTGGTCATTCAACTTACAGTTAATGTGTAGTTAGTATTGAGCAAGGGATGCTGGAGATAGTGCAATGAACAGGATGAGTTTTCTGACCTCCTGGAACTAACATTCCAAATGAGAGGCCAAGATAATAAAGAAT